TGTGGATAGAAAATGGACAATATGTCTGACCAGGTTGTTAACATTGGTGGTGAGGACAATGTGGTGGAACATGGTGGGGTAGTTGTTCTTGATGGCATGATGGCAACCAATGGCCCTATACCTTTGGACTCCCCTCATTTCATGGTTCCTATGATTTGGTGGGGCAGGGGTCAAAACTAAGAAAGGGTTCAAGGACTCTTGCACTCATGGTCTCCAGGTTTGTTCATGCACCAAAGATTTAAGGAGGTTCCATGATTTGGTGGGGGGTGGCCTCAAAACTAGAGCAATTTGATTAGTAAGACAAATAGCGAAATGCAAACTTGCTCTAGCTCTAAAGGGTTCAAGGAGGTACATGTTAGGCAGGTTGCACTCATGGTCTCTAAGTTTGTTGGGGTCAATGTGAGCACCCAACAGATTTACAATCACCTGAGAAAGTGGAGGCAAAGGTGGGTTAAGATTGTTAGGCTCAAGGATTTGAGTGGTGCTCTGTGGGATGAAGACCACCATATGATACTACTTGATGATGAACACCTACTTGGCCACACCAAGGTTAGAAACTGTTTGGATAACACCTCGGCTATCTCTTTTCTTTTTTTGCTTGGTGGTAACCACCAAGAGAAACAAGGTTTTCAATGAGAATACCAAGTGCCACTAGATGCAATCACTCAAGCTCTCACAATGATGATGGATCAATGATGGAGATGAGTATGTCTAATAGTTACATCTATTTCACTAACTAGGATCATCCTGCGCCAACATCATTTCGATGCTAAGTTCTTGAACACACCAATAGAACTATGTTTCAAGCATTTGATGATCACCATGATGGAGGCCATCTTTGGTGGTAATAATCATCTTGATAAACTAGGTTAGCTACAAGTAGGTATGCAATTAGGCAAATGAGCCTCTGGGTACTCATGCAAGTTCTTGAACACACCAATAGAGAACTATGTTGCACATTGGCCAAGGTGATATTGATGTTGTTGAGGACATTACTCGACTTAGGTGGCACAGAGGTGATGCTTATTCACTGCTTCTGGACTTGGGCCACCTATCTGATACATCTTGATAAACTAGGTTAGCACCTAGATTCTAGAAAGGGAACTCCTTCTAGTATGGAAGGCTCTAAGGGTTCTGATGCCAAGGGCCAGGAGGAAAGGGGTGGCAAGAGAATGAAGCTTTCCCTAGAGGAAATAGACCTCGTGAATGGAATGGTCAAGGTTGTGGAGTCTGTAGGAGATGCCCTCAAGACTCCACAGCATAATGAGGTGCATCAGGATCTTTATGGCTGTGTTATGGATTGCCCTAGGTACTCACAGGAGGCACTCATGTTTGCCCTAGTTTACCTGCTGAAGAACAAGGCCGATAGACTTTGCTTTGTTCAGATGACAGAGGCTCATAGGATCCTGTGGCTTAGGACCTACTTGAGCACAACCTACTTTGCTTAGATGCATATGAGTTGGCCTCTCCACTTTTACATATAGCCATGCTAACTATATTATGTTGTAGGAAGTATTTTGATGTGTAGCACTGACCTCATCTGATGCTACAAAGAACCATTTGCCGCGTGACCAAGGCTGCACCTAGTTTGGAATAGCATAGGAGCCATGGTGATGGATATGAGGCTTTGTTGATCTGTGTGGTGTAGACATTAACAACGGATGATGGATTATCACTTAGTTGATCTGATCCCTAAAATACCTTGGATTGTCACTTAGTTGATCTAAGACATTTCAGATGCTGTTATTGTTCTTGTTATTCTTATTGTTGGAGTTCCTATTTGACCGATGATGCAAACTATAGTAATCTGAGGTGGCTGTGGGTATTCTTCCTGTTGGTGTTTTATTGTCTTCTTGTGTTTTCTCATGTCTGTCATCAAACCGTGGGATACGTCTATTCCAAAGCAACTATTGTAGGCATGCCTATAGAATGGCTGGGATGGACGTGTCCCACGCTTCCATGGGAGCCATGAACTTGCCTCAGCAATTTGTGTTCTTATTTGCCACCTGGGATGATTGTAGTTAGCTTGCAAGATGATCATAAGTTAGTTTACATTAGCTGAGGCCTACGTTTTTTGTGCTTATGATGTCAACCATTTTTTTTACTGAGACTGATATAATTGTGAGATCCTTTTCATGCCTATGAAGATAACAGTGCCAGTTTGAGTAATGGATTATGCACATTGATGATCTTGGACTTGTGAGGCACTGGAGCATTATTTCTTCTATCTTCTGCTTATGTTTCTTATGGCTATCATCAAACCATGTGAGACATCCATGCCCAAGCAACAACTGGACGGTTGTGATGATCTAATGGCTGGGCTAGATGTCTCTCATGGTTTCATGCCTATCATGATCTTGGCTTTCTACTATCTATTTGAGCTTTGTTGCTGTCTATGTTTCTTAAGCTCCAAGTTCAAGGTCAAATGAAAAGACAATTAAATCTGGGGCAAATCGATTGAACTACCCCTCATCTTATCAACATCTTATACTTGCTTTTATGTGTTTTTAAGAGGCAAATGGCTTGGTATGTTGTGTACCGTGGCAGAGTTCCTGGGGTATATACAACCTGGGCTAGATACAATGCCCAGGTAACTGATTTTAAAAACAACAACTACAAGAGCTTCCCTAACAAATAAAAGGCAGAAGCATCATACTTGGAGTTCATGGGTTGTAAAGATGACAAAGTTTTTGTCAATCCTCCACCAAAGGTGGTTAGGAACAAACCAGTGTTATTTGTTGTGGCTGTGGTGCAGTCTTTTTGTTGCTAGTGCTCCAGTGGTTCGTTCTTGCTCATTGCTACAACTGCATGTGATGCTCAAAATGCCATGGCTTGGTATGTTGTCTATCGGGGAAAGGAGCCTGGGGTCTATGCCCTAAAATGCCTCCTTGCAGTGCTTCGGGCAACCAATCAAGCCCTAAAATACCTTGGTTACTGGCTATTACTTTGGTTCGGTCGTTTATTTTGATGGTGCTTGTCTTTTTCATTGCTAAGCATTGTTTTAGGTGCCTCTAATTGTTTCATATTGCTTGTGATGGTTTCAAAATGCCATGAACACGTGTAAAGACAATGACCTTGTGAGGAACTGTGACTTTTGTTGTTCATGATTTGCTGGGAGTACTATTGTCATGTTTATGTCATTAGAAGCTCCAAGGTCATTATCAATGCCAAGCTTGTTGAACTGAGGCAAAGTTATCTATGTTTTCTTCTATTGTTCTTCATTCTGCAATAGCTGGTGGTAACCACACCAAACTCATACATGGGTATTCAGACCTAGGGCAATGCGGCCAACCAAACAAGACATGGAATCACCAGTTCATACACCAAAACAGTGCAAACGGGGAACCAAACACGATGCAGGTCATCCGGTATCTTGTACTCGGATGCAACCAAACACACCCACTTGCATGCTTCCATCATGGCTGGGAAGAGCCTGCACAGGGCCCCCATCCCGGATCACCAATGCCGGAGTAACCAATCATGCCCTGAAAGAACGCAAAGGAACAAAAGAAGCTCTCGGCCCTTTCTCTGCGCAAAGGTGTTTACCCTAGCTTTGTCAACCTATACTTTTTTATAAACTCATTCGTGCTCTCATCTTACAAACAGTAAAAAGGTAACAATCTTTTTTTGATGCCTCTCATCTAGTTACAGTTGTAGCATCTGTTCGTACACACGCACGTCCACTCAACACACGCACACTACTCACACCACCCGTGTACAAATAAACCTACAACTATACTCAGATTCGAAGACCGCGTCCTTTTTTTTGAGCCTGGACTCCTAGTGTACAAGTTGTAGTATCTGCACTCTACACAACACACTCACACCATCACACACATGGACACCCATAGAAGCTACAACCTATACACCTCAAATGTCCTTCTAGAGATCATTGAAGCCACACGAGCCTCATAGACGACGGGCACATCGTAGTCCCATTATAACGCCACGCGAGTGTTCAGGACCTGCACGAAACAAATATGAAAAAAAACCCGGTGCCACACCCGGCCAATCCACAACGGGAATCGAACGCGGGTGGGTGGCTTCCACGACGGGAGCGCTCACCATTGCGCTATAAGCGCATTGGCGACTACGTCCTTCTTGAGATCACCGAAATTTTCAGATTTCGTAGACGACGGCACTACATCCTTCTTGAGATCACCGATAGACGACGGGCACGTCATGATCCCATTGTAGTATCACGCATGAGAGGCAGACGCTTGGAACCGGTCCAAACAAAATTTATTTGGGGGCATGCCCGGTGAGACACCAGAGTTGCGATCCCCGGGATCGAACTCGGGCGGGCAGCTCTCACACCGGAGAAGCTAGCCACCGAGCTACGCGCTCGTTCTACATAAAAAAGGTAACAATCTTGTGTTCCCAGTAGTTTGTGCTGACTTTGATTCTGACACCACCTGTGAAAGAAAATGTGCAGCAGTGCCAAGTAACAGCCAAGAACTCATCATCCCCCACCACTGACCCTCTTCATTCTTCAACCAAAATTTGAGCCACGCAGGACACAGTACTGTTTGTGTGATTAATGCAATCTCACAAGTACATAAATCTGGTCATAGTCTGCTTTGGTAATTGTGGTAGAACATGGGAGGAGTGCACCATACTGTACAGTGTACAATACCCAGTGCATCACACAGTACAAATACCCAAGTCTCCACCAAGTAAGGTGAGCAAAACTGGAGTTGGAGCTGTACAGTGACTGTGGAGTGAGGTGAGAACAAGACAAACCCTGGAATCATTGCCTACCCCTCCCCCCCCCCCCCCTTCTGTTTTCTTGGATCCCTCCCTGCCCAGCCCAGCCCTGCCACACTGCCGCTGCCACTGGCCAGTGGCCAGTGGCCACTGCCATTGCTTGCCCATAAATTTTTTCAAACCCCTGACGCTGCCTCCCCCCATATTAACCCATCTTCTCCCCCAATTCGCCCGCCCCATCGTCGGAGCAAGCAATGTGCCCCAGAGCCACGGCTCAGCACTGCGGCGACGCAATGGCTAGCGTGTGTTCGTTCGTGGAGGAGGAGTACATCGACCTGGATCTCAGCTCGTGCGGGGAGTTCGAGTTCCAGGTGCGCCGGAGTGGAGCGGCGGACGAGCTTCTATGCCGGGGCAGGCTGCAGCCGCCGCCGCCGGCGGCGGCTGCCCCGCACAAGGCCGCGCCACCGAGGCCTGGCCGCAAGGCGCAGGAGGTTGACGTCGGCGGCGGCGGCGGCGGCTGCGGTGGCGCCGGCAGGAGGAACGCCGCGACAGTGGCGCCGCTGCAGCACTCGCACTCCGCTGGGTGCCGCGACGACGACACGCAGCCGGTGGCGAGGCTACGCACCGAGTGCTCCCGCCGCAGGAAGGCGGCGCGGACGGTGCACGCGAAGCTGCTGGCGTCCCGGGCCTTCTTCCGGTCCCTGTTCGCCAGGACCTCGTGCTCCGACGAGCAATGCCGCGGGGCCGATGTCCGGGCCAGCACCAGAGCGGCTGCGGCACCACTCGGCGAGACGAAGAGCACCGCCTGCAAGGCGGCGTTTGGCCAGATCAAGAACGGCTACGGCTACGGCTACGGCTACCACAGCGGCAGCGTCAAGGCGGCGCCGACCACCCTGCGGAGCAGCATCGAGCAGGAGAAGCTGATGGACGAGGAGGAGCTCGCCGCGGCCGCGGCGGCCGCCGCCCGCCAGCGCAAGTCCTTCTCCGGCGTGATCAAGTGGCGGCACGCGATGGCAACGGCAGCGGCGGCGGCTCCCGCCGCGGCGCCGGCGAAGCCGCTGTCGTCGTCGTCGGCGAGGAGGAGTTCCGGAGTTGGCGGCGGGCCGGCGCTGAAGCGGAGCAGCAGCGCCCGGTCGGAGTCGGAGGGGCTGATCCAGGGCGCCATCGCCTACTGCAAGCGGTCGCAGCAGCAGCTCGGGCTCGCCAGGAAGAGCGTCAGCGACGCCGCCCTCTGCTCCGCCTCCGCGCCTTCCTCCTGGCCTAGCAACCCGGCTCGATCAGCTGTAGTAGCGTACTGCCACTAGCCGTGAGAGCCCGTGACGTGTGCAAAAAATGGATGGGATTTCAAAAGTGACCACATCAATAATTTCAAGTTTATCCTGTCTTTTCTCGCATATATAAATAATACAATTTCTTCTTCAGTCATCAGATATACGGAGTACAAAGCCCGGATTTGTGAAAAAAAAAAGAATTTGAGGTTCGTAGTTCTAGAAAGAGACCCTGGCGCGAGCTTATGGACGACCGGACCGAACATCCTGTGCTGCATTCAGGTTTCAGAGTGCTGTAGATGACGCCATCGTTGTTAACAAAAAAAAAACAGGACCACGTTGTCGTCGTCGGCGTTACTCCTGGTCTGCCGGGGTGCCGGCCGTTGCTGGCTGAGGAGTGAGGATTGCCTGACCAGCTGCCGCTCGCCCGGGCCGCTCGCTCATTCAGTGCGACTGTCTCCGACCAACGTTATCCAAGATATAAAATATAAACGCTAAAGATAAAGGATTCAATATTTATTTTTGTTTTATCCAACAATAGAACTCAAAAGAGAACATTTTCTGTAAACGAGTCTTTAAAAGAGAGAATACTCATATTTAAGTTATAAGTCTGCTGCAACCCAAAATGTATCTCGCGTATAGATACTCTGCTGAAGGCCAAAACGGTATCATCCAATTACTATTTTTGGTTTGATACCCATATGGGTAGGCTGATCGAGACGGTTCGCTGATTAGTTTTTATGTTACGAAAGAAAAACACTCTATCATATCCGGCTAAAACCAGCAAGCAAACCGATGGCCAGAATAGTAGTCTGAAAGGCAACGTCAGCGCGGCAGAGCAACTGCGACAACCACTGTAGTACTAGTACTAGTGCTACCGCCTACTAGCAGCAGCCGCAGCAGTGCCATCTGCCATCCACGAGCGCTGCCGGCAGCTGCTCTCAAGTCTCAAAACAGCAAGCCAGCAAGGGGTTATTGAAAGAAAGAAAGAAAAAAGATGGAAGCGCACTCGGGACGCAGGGGCGGGCCGCCGGGCCGGGGTGTGGATGTATTCTCGCGGCGATGCCGCTGGGGAATTGGTGGAATGGAGTGGAGTGGATGTGGATCGGCGGCATGATGGGCGGGCGGATCGCCGAGGAAAAGCGCGCAACGCGATAGGCCGTCGAAAGCGTCGGCATCATTGAGGGCCGGAAAGGTGCGACTCCGAGGCGATGAAGGTGCGCGCAACAACCCGCACCCGCAGACCGCAGTCCCGCTCGCTCGCTCGGCGCTCGGCGGCCGCGGCTGGCCCTGGCCACCAGGCGCGTGCGGCCGCACATGACCTGACGGGCCTCCGATTCTTTGTCATGGTCGGCCGGTCGCTCCGGCCGGCAATGTGGTGGTACTACCACTGTGCTGGTGGTACTGGGAGGTCTTAATTCTTTGACCGCATTCAATGGCGCGACGCGGACCGTGATGAGAACGGCATGTTCTTTGTTCGTCGTGGAAATAAGTAAAACGGACATGAGTGAATTCGGGGTGGTTGGGTTAAGATAAGACGCCCTGTGCTGATTGCTGAACCTATATGGTCCAACCGAGATTGCAGATGGAGATTTTCGTTCATTCAAAACAAAAAAGATTGCAGATGGAGATCGTGCGGAGGAACTTTTAAAGAAATGGGATAGTAGTACTACAAAATATCTCTTGGCTCATTGCTCGTTTATATTATGGATCAATAAGGTTCAAATCGTGTGGCATGATTGTACTAAAGTTGAAACGGATTGCCAAATAAGTGAAGATGAGTTTCCGCTGCCCGCGCCCAATTAAATCCTAACTCGACATCTACATCAACTTCCGTCGTTGCTGCTGGGATGTTTAGTGCGACAGGCTAATTGGAGGGGCTCTCCACTTTTCCGAGAGCTGATGAGGCTATGAAAGAACATGCACGGATCGGCAAAGCAAGCAGGCCAGAAATTTCACGCTTTGGAGCCGGAGATGGATGGAGATGATAAAAGCCCCTTTGCACGGGCAACTTGGCGGGCTCTCACTCCCTGGCCTTGCTTCTGCCTTGCCCTAGTTTCCTCCAGGCAATGCCAAAGGCGCTCTCTACTCGAGTAGCGGTAAAAGGCTCGAGACCGCAGCAGCAGCAGCAGCAAACGTAAAAAGACCTTTGCTTTGCCTTTGCTGAGCCTCCCCCATCCTCGCCATGTGTGACGGGAACGGGAAGGAGAACGAGACCGAGATGAGATGCGTCGGGTTGGGTGCCAGCGCCACGTACGTACAGCTACAGCTACGCTGCGCCGGCGGCCGGCCCTGTAGTCTGTAGAAAAGAGCAGTAGGCTAGCGCTGGTGGAGTATCATGAGGCCTTTTGGATCTGTTGGTTAGTTTCAACTTTCAATGGCGATAGGGATCGCAGCTGGCCCTGCCTTGCCTGCGTACGCGACGCCGCTGGCCCAGTGCGTGCGGGCGCGCATGTGTACGAGCCGGAACGCATGCACCTTTCGCTGTTCTCCAACACACACAGCCTGTGCTGGCCTGGAGCAACAAAGGCGATGGCAACCGGACCGGGCGGCGCGAGGGTTTTGGCCGGGCTTTTATTTTTTTTGGTGCCTTGCCGGGCTTTTCGAGCCTCCCCCGGACCCCCTCGCTCGTTGGCCTTTGCGCGAGGATACCGATGCCGTGCCCGCACGACACAGTGGCGTGCACGGGTCGTAGTCTCTTGCTCGCTCGCTGAGACAGCACGGGTCACGATCACGACAGGCTTTACGTGTGTCTCGACTCTGCTGGAGGCTGGAGCCAAGAGACCGTTCGTTCAGCCGTCCAGGGGAGCAAGAGACCGTAGCTGTACTGCGGCGGCAGTACAAAGTCAACTACTGGGCGGATCTACAGCGGGGGGTTTGGGGGCTCCAGCCCCCTAAGCCTGCTGCGGGGTGTTCGGCTGGTATAGTTTTAGAGGAATTTAGATGGTTTGAACAAATTCTGAAGGAATTTATGAGAGAAAAATATTGTTTCGGATGAAAAAAGAAGTGGATCAAGCCGAGTTTAAGAGCACGCGAACAGGGCCATGCATCAATAAAAATATGAAGAGGGTGAGGAAGGAGAAGAGATGGAAGAAAAAAAAAGAAAAATGAAGAGAGAGGAAGTTGAAGAGACCAGCCTCTTCAATCATGTTATGCATCCGCCATTTACAACTACTCAGTCTGTTCGTTTGGCTATAGCTTATCGTAAACGATCGTAAATTTTCAACCAAAACAATATTTTTCTCTCACACAAACCAGCCAGTAATACTTCTTCACGAACCAGCAACGAAGCAAACCAGCCAACCGAACAAGCTGACTACCGGTCGCTCAAGACAGACCGGTCGCTCAAGACAGACAAAAGTTTTGTGCTGCGGTGTCCTCACTGTTCAGCGTCATGCTCATGCTTCCGTCGGAATGGCGGTAAATTCTCTCTATTCCCTCTCTCCCCGGTTAATTATCGCGGTTGTTTTACGTACCGAAAGTTTGATTTCATTGATAGAAAAATGCGTGCCATTCATATTTCCAAATAAATTTATTAAAAAACTAAATTCAAATATCTATTTAATGATATTAATTATATACCATAAATATTATTATTTTTATATATATATTTAGTTAAAGTTGTTTCTCAAGAAACGAAAATCGACAAATATTTAAAAAGGAGAGGAGTACAGTACTACAAGAATTTTAGCCGCTTCCGTCACAAGTTAATGCATGTCTTACTGTACCTTATTTATTCAACTCCCCAACTTGTAAAATTTGGACTACGAATATACAAATAGTTTTTTTTAATTCAAACTTGCACTAAAACAACATGTCAACCTGCCTCGGTTTGGCTGAAGCTTTGATATACGCTTTTTGAGATAGGTGTTGGACTTGTTCGTAGCTGATTACCTCATGAATGTAGCGGGAGCTTTGTCAAATAGTTTTTTTAAGATAAAAGTAATTCTCTAAAATGAACTAAGAGGTTGGGAGCTGAAAATGTAGATTCTCCTGATTCTGTGAAGTGATTATCTATCGTGATTTTGATAGTTTATCCTAAAGAATAAAAGAGAATCGCTTTCAGCGGGGCCCCGTTCGGCTGGTAGAATTTTGGCTAAAACTGGCTGAAAACACTGTTCTGGCTGAATTGTTGTGAGAGAAAAATATTATTCAGGCTGAAAAAAAATTCGAACAAACCGAATATGGAGTAAGCCGAACATGGCCATATCAATTCTCTCAGAGAATCAGAATCGGATGGAGCTCTACCAAACATGCCCTTAGATTGCAATTCTACTTGTTTTCCTTCTGTTTGCCTTCATCAACATTAGCATTTCCCTTCTAGTAATGAAAATGTGGAACTAATTGGGTTTTTTTTTTTAAACACACATGTGTATGTTTCCACATATACCCGAACCTCACACCTAATTATTTGATTCAGCTTTAAAATTTATTCAAATTTAAACCACCACAACACTTTGGAACTATCAAAAGTACAGTCTAAATCTTTTCCTATTTTGGGACAAGACCCTGAAAAAAAACTATATGCGACGGTGCCGCATGAAAGTATGCTTGTGAGTTGTGACACCGCTTGGATTGCCTACTCAAGGAAGTTCTCCATCCACGCGTTCGGCTGGCTGGGCGGCTTCGGCTAGGCTGGCCAGCGCACCCACGAACAGTGTTTTCAGATAGAAATTTTTTTTTCCTCGTAACAATCAGCCGAAACAGTATTTTGATTTATTTTTTAATCCTGCCGAATAGCCTAGCTTAGCCCTCCCGCCGTTCCGCAGAGCCTATACCAAATGTCGCACTGTAGGCTTTCTCCTGAAAAAAGTCTATCTCATCCCTCTAAATTATTACTGTAGTCTAATTTTTTCACTCAAAAACTCCAAAACCAGGCATTTTATACTTCTTGAACTCTCATAACCATTCAAATTATGTTTGGGAAGGAAAACCGGTACTTTGAGAAGTTTAATTAGAAACGCGTCCGAGTCTGTAGATTTCTGGGCCAGTTTGTCGTGCCCAGCCGTGGGCCACGGATTAGTCCAGGTAGCTCG